TGCAATTGTTTTTTGGTTATTCTATAATAACCAGAAATCTCTATAATCATCAGACATTTTTCTTTTAGGTCATAGGAATTATCCATGCCTCTTTCGTTTATTCAAGCAACTCCAGTATAAAAGAGTGGTGTACTACACTGCGGACTAACTGGAGATGAAATGGCCGAATATCAAAGGAGGCCTGCAGCTCCTCGAGCATCCTAAACTCTTCAGGAGGCCATCTCGATAAATAAAGCTGCAATGCGAAAAAGTTTAAATTTATTTATTTTACAGGATAAATTTTAAATTCAAAAAGCCCTCTCTGTAGCTGTAAAACAGGAACCAAAACGCAGAGCCTATTTTTCAGGCATTCCCTGAACTGGAGGACATCCGGAACAAAATTTGGGCACAAATGACTTGGTGACGAAGCACTATGGTGGTCTGTGGTACCTCACCATTCGAAGGAAGTTCCAAGAAGAACTGCTTTGCGTGTTTTCGGAACCAATCATTTTGCGCAACCAAATACCATTTCCCTAGATTTCTATGGACCTAAAATAAATAAGTTTTCAGAGAAATCTTATGATACTTTATTTATTATTTATTATGATTAGCACCTCTATTTAAAGGTGATTCAAAAAAAAAACAAACCTAGATAATTATAACCTAGAATAATTATTCAAGTTTTCTAATTAGTGATTCTGGAAGTACTATTTTGTTCAGAGTGAAATATTGTGAGACATCGAGAAGGAGTCGACAGTTATTTATATGTCTCTAGTCCAAATAATAAAGACTCAACGCCGGTGACCCTTTAAGGTAGAGGCGAAAATCAAAAACTTTTAAACATAAATATGTTCTGACTTAAATAATTATTATATATTTTAATTGGAACTTAAACAAATTGTGGTAACGTTTCCAAAATTAGTTTTATATAGAATTTAATCCAGCTTTATTATCTTCTTTTTGACTCATTGTAAAACAATACAATCATTAGATTAGGGACACTAGTGAAATGCCTGAATTAATGAAACGGCAACAAAGAGGTTCTACAAAGAGGCATGGATGAATCCTTGAAGTAAATGTTCCTCATTCGCCTGTTACCATTTGATGTAACGGATGCCTTCATCATGCAACCAATTAACAACAACCTCTATCCAGTTCACTTCCGTAACTGCAGATCGTTTCTAGCGAGCCCTCAGTATTCGTTTGAACTCGATGTGAAGTTACTAGCGGACTTTTAGGGAGCAGTTAAGGTGACGAGCTGGAGCACAATTCAAACATGTAGATATTACCTCGACTGTATGAATGTAAACACAGAGCCGTATTGCTCAATACCCTAGATCGTGGCAGGTTGTATTATCTTCAATAAAATTAATTAAACCTCGACTGATTCGGACCCGAGGCCTGGCACGGATCAGGTGACCTCCCCTTTGATCAACCACATTTCGAACCGTAACAACTTCACAGCCAATAGTTTTTTAAATATTACTTAAACGTAGTCTTAAGATAATTATGTTTAAAATTAATTTGTATTTAAATACTATTAAAAAAACACATAAAAATTAATATATATTTATATATATATATATATATATATATATATATATATATATATATATATATATATATATATATAAACTCTAAATAGGTTTCTTCTTTTTCTTATCCCCAAAGATACTCCTTATTCTCAAGAGGGGAAATAAGGGCTAGTAATATTGTAACGAGAACTAACGAAAGCAACTCACCTGGCCAAAAGGATACGTATTTAGCGCTAGTATAATAAAATCTCTATTGTTTTAATCATGGCGAAACAAATTAAAAGTTTTGCCTAAAAATAATGACATTGACTATACAAGAAATCATTTATTTTGTCGTTCAGGAAAAAGGAGATGTTAGTAGCCGATCAGGACAATAAGTATGATGATTATAAAATCAGCTCGTAAATAACAAAACTTTACATAACGACTTACGACAACCGACTATCGACCAACACCCACATACTCTATCGATTGACGACTGACATGCCCACCAGGAAGCGGCCAAAAAGGAGTTGGATGAGAGATCTCACCTAAATCAAGGAAGTTACCAATTGTCAGGAAGAGGTGCTATCCTTCCTCATACCAATCATTTAATTTGTCACAACAAGGTGAGTACCTGTAAATCAAATAAGGATCGTCGTTAATAAATAAAATGTTATGTAGACGTAAAAGAAAATTTGCACATCTTATTATACTTATAACGCGTCAAATAATTCCAAGAATAGAACATTTTATTTCTTACCTTTACTTATTGATTTTACCTGGCTTCTTATGAAAGCTTTCATATATTGTAGACTATACCTACTTCATTGTTCTTTGAGATTCTTGGGAAGTTTCTTGAACCTGTCTGCCAATGCAGGTATTGGTATTGGTACCCGGAAGTGCACTAAAGCTAATCCCTCTGTAAAAGTAGTCAACGGGTTTTACCTTGGCCGGGCTAAAGCTGTCATGTTTCCACCAGCTTTAATGGACCATAAACCTAAATTCTTCTTATTACAGTTTAATCTTTGAAATTTGTTTAATATATATTTATTCCGGAGGTAAAGAACAGTATGTTAATTTTTAATTTCACTAACTATTTATGTAATATATAGTAAGGGAAAGTGTTGCGAATGTGAAAATTTTCGAATCTGAGTTTTCAACGGAAATACACGTTTTAAGGTCTCCTGAGTCTAAATAACCAAGTCTCTCAAAATGGTCTGTGTGTGTGTATGTATGTGGTAAGTCTAGCTCAAAAACGAAAAGTCGTGCCATACTGATATTAAGTATTTGAACTGGTATAAAAAAATAGGTGTATGATTTGACAGCAATTTTTCGTTGAAATCGACTAACGGAAGTGCCACTTTATAGCAAGGTTATTCACATATTTACAATCTTCTCAAAAACGGTTCCAATGATTTTGATTAAACTCGGTGTATCATTGTATCAAGTGTCTTTAATCATTATGGATGAAACACCCCTAACTCACCCGATCTCTACCTCGAAAATTCCATTATCCCTTGCTCGGACCAACATAGATTCTTGGGCATGATCTTTGACCGAAGACTAACTTGGGAGCCGCACATTTCTGCACTAAAAACAGCCACTACAAGAAGAATAGCTACCTTACGATATCTAGGCGGCACTTCCTGGGGCTCAGGCAGACTTACTCTAATAAAACTGTATCAAGCCGTGGTATGTTCTAAATTAGACGGGTGCTTTATATACGGTTCCGCCCGCCATCCGATCCTAAACGAACTCGATACAGTCCACCATGCAGGCATTAGGATAGCGACTGCGCCTTTCAAACGAGCCCCATCCTTAGTCTCTGTTCTGAGGCCGGAATACCCTTCTTTTATTTAGAAATAAAAAACTCGCTGTTAACTACATTTCAAGGCTACTTCCTCAAAATCAACATCCGACCCATAACTACATTTTTAAACCTAAATTTTCAAACGCTTTTAGAAGCAAAACAAATTCTGCACTCCCACTGTCAGAAAGAATTTATTCAGCAGCTCGATCCCTTAGGAACTTACCTTTATACAATATAGAAAGCCAAAACCCACCGTGGATCCACATAATCAAGTGGCCTTTAATATCATTGAAGTCTTATCTCCATTGATGTTATTTTATAGGGCTTAAACGCTTAAATGGTCAACTCTAAAGTACCTTTGATTTGGTTTATTTTAGATAATTAACCATTTCTCATTATTAAGAGTTACAAAAAGATGCTAAATATAACTTTTAAAGAATTTGATAATTGAAAAAGGGGAAAAATGTTTATTTAGGTTTAAAATGAATTTCCGGAAATCCTAGTCAGAAGTTATACGTATAATATATTTGAAAAGTGGAATATGTTAGAAAAAAAAACAATATATATTATAGAAAGTCGAAGAAAGTAATGGGGAGTGACGAAACATTATAAATAATAATTTGTTAACACTGATATTATTTAACGGAAGACACCTGTTTTCAAGTAAATCAAATCTATGGAGAAATCTCTTAATTTATTTCTACTAAATTTTACAATGGAAAATAACTGTTTAATAACTTATAGGCGTACAATCCATAATCATTTATATTTGCTGCTATGTTGTTTATATTTATATTACTGCCATTTGCTGCTAGAGCGTTACATCTTAAAATTTATGATTTTCCAAGTGATGTATCCAAAGTTTTAAATTACATATAAGTTATAAATTAGTTATACAGTTGAAGTGTTACTGAAGCCTATTTTCTTCACAAGTTATATTCTTAATTTAAAATTGGTTCTTTTATTTTTTATAAATCTATATTTTATATAAAAATAAAATTTCAACTTAATAAATTGAAATTATAATCCGAAAATAAATATGACGTCATTCTCAAGGCTTTGGGGCTAAGAAATGGTACCGATACCGTGCAGTTCAAATTAAACATGCACTTTGTTGCTATTACTGCTCAAAAATCATGATTTTCGAGTTATATTTTGTAATTTTAAAACAATATGAATTTTCAATTGTCAAAATTTAGTTTCAACATGGAAGCTTTTATTCTTTAATGATAGTTGACATTGAAATGAATATATATTAAAAAAAGATTTGACTTGTCTGAATTCGTAAGCACTTCATGTATAAGGATCTAAATTATTTCTAATTAGAAACATTTCTATTTAGAAAACTGCATGGCCTTACCGTACCATATACCTGCTGTATGCAACTTGAGATAATGCTTTATCTTATAATAACATAGTTATATGTGATGGTGGAATCGCATATAATAAACTATGAAATATTAATGAAGTGTTAATAAATATGTTTTGCTTTGGCAGTTTGAAAGACTTTATCGGAATCACTCGGCAAGGCCGAGGTAAAATATGAGTCTGTTATGTTTGAATAGGGATTTTTAACAAGAAAAATAAATTAATTTATTAAAAAAAAATAAATTTATTGAGTATAAAATATTACAACTGTTGGAAAAGTAATAATAATAATAATAATGTAACAAAACAATTACAAGTGAATAGGTCAATATGCAATTTAAAATCCGGTGTCCTGTCCATGATCCCCTGTTGACTCACGTCCTGTTCGCGATGTCCCGTTGACTCAGGTCTCTGGCGGTGGCGGTGCCCTGTTCTTCCAGCAGCGTGAACACCTATGAGGCTTCGACTCGTCCCTGGGGAGGGAGATGCAGACGTGATAGGAGACGTCGCCGCATTGCTGGCAGGTCATCTTGTGCTTCCCGCTGGAGTCGCAGTCCTTCCGGTTGCAGGGGTTGTCCTTCAGGAGCTGCTCGTACTGAGCGGGGAGGAACCTGAACGGACATGGTACCCGGGCCCGCAAGCGCCGCTCCTCCTCGGGCTCTGGCCTGTACCGCCGGCTGCTCTGGCCCTTGCCGTAGTTGATGTTGATGGGCTGCGACATAATGAATACTGTACTATTTCCAACTGTTTGCCAGGGCTTAAATAGCCCTTATACCTGAGTTAGGGAAAATACCCCCTTCCACTACCTTCCAGCCCCATACCATTTTCAGTTTTTGTTAATATTTCATATCTATGTAGATTCACTAGCGAAGGTGAGAAAATAGGGCAGGTGAGAAAATTTTCTTACTCCAATGTTAATACAAAGTAAACATTAAACCCATAAAACATGTAAAATTGTCTAATTTACAGCTAATAACTTGGAGAAATGATCTATTTTGTTCAATTTATTATATTAATATGTCGAAATCCTCTCAACCTTATCTTAAGCTTGTGAATTAAAATATTGTGTCACATTGAAAATTAAAATTCATATTACAATCAACTAACGACAATACAATAATGAATTATGATTAACCTAAATCTTGAAGAAAAAGATATTTTAATAATTTAAGATATAAGGTATATTAATTTGACATAAATAATAGATAATTCACAAAACAGATACAAAAAAGTTCTCAATACTTACTATAACCGACAAACAATAAAATATATTTGTATAAGTTTTATACAATATTAGTTTCCTTAAATTGGTTAATTGACTGGCACATACCTACAAGGAATGAAGTAATGTAGAGGAACGTAAAAAGATTAAAGGTATGAAGGATAAGAACATGTTATATAGATCACATCAATTGATTTCAGGCATTTTATTTTAATTAAAAATATTATATTTAAAATACGTACATAATTATAAATTGTCCACATTATAATGAAAACATTTTTTTTTAACTCAGTTAAAATTTACAATGTTACACGTTTCGAAATTTGTTTCTGAAATGTTGTTTCTGCTATCATTTAATATGTCTTTTAATTGAGGAAAAAGCTGTTGAAGATGAACTGATGTAAAGAGAATGATTTGTTAAGAAGCGACCAATGCTCTGGTTCTTTGCAACCATCAACATCACACCACTCAATGCACTCCTTGTATTTTTTATAAGAGTGTCGTAACTTTGACTTTTTTCTATTACGAAGTTAAAGTTTTGAGATATAATTTTTCCTTTTTCACTATTCATTTTTTAAAGATTTTCTCCTACAGTTTCTATAATTTAAATTTTTTATTAAGTGACAAATTTCGAGATTTTAACTGCATTGATGTTTGCTCTGAAGGATAATTGATAGCATCAGATTCCAAAAGCGTCATGACAGCAATTGGTAACCCATGGCCAAGCAATTCAATTATAAGAGATATATTGAATCTATGGTGGGAATTAAATGAAAGAACGGTCAGAGTGATATTTGTCTGGGTTCCATCTCATTGTGGCATCACAGGCAATGAAAGAGCAGACCGAGCAGCTAACATAGCAAGGAAGGGAGAGGTACCAGCCATAATTTCAATAGATTGTACCACAGTGGAGGACTGGGTTCACACAACAAAAAAGAAGTTATTGGAAAATTGGGTAAATAGATGGAAAACTGAAAAGTCAAAATTATTAGAAATAAAAAGAGACTGCAACAAGTGGGCTACTAGCACCAGAATATCCAGAAGAGAAGAAACCATATTGTGTAGAATAAGAATTGGTCACTGCCTGTTTACCCACGGGTACCTTCTCAGAGGTCTAGAACCACCCACGTGCGAAAAGTGTGACAATAAATCGCAGTCAGTAAAACACTTGTTAGTAGAGTGCCACGAGTTCAACGACATTCGGCAAAAATTGAAACTTCCAACAACAATAAAAGAGATACTGAGAGACAACGAAGATGGAGTCACCACCCTACTGCGATACTTAATAGAGACGAAACACTACAATAGAATATAGAAAACTAGCCGCCAATGACCCTCTAGGGTAGAGGCGATTACAAATTTAAAAAAAAAACAAAAAAAAAAACAATATTTGAAAATATTTTTGGGGTATTTTTGAGATGCCGCTATTTCAATCAATAAGGAATCGAGCCTTAAATACATCCAGAACAATTCAATTTAAAATGATGTTAATCCTCTTGATATATCTGATACAGTGAGTTAGAGCCACGTAACGTTTGTAATCTCTATCTTTTTTTTTTCAATTTTCCCTTCACTTACTAGTTTGTAATTTTAAATAGCTAAAATAGAAAAATATGTAAATTCCGCCAATTTGTTTTTAAAAAATACAACTTTCTTGTTGATGGCTATTTATACAATAATGTAGTTTAATGAAATCGAAGAGGTCAAGACAAGACAAGACTTCTAATTAGATTTAGTTGATAGAGTACAACATTTCGTGTAGTGGAAATAATATATATTAAAGTAATACGTTAAGTATATAGTATAAGATAGAATTGAATTTTTACATACTAAAGGGACATATAGCTGTTTCTGGGAATTTCGTGTGTAATTATAATTTAGGGCTCCATTTTTCCAAAAGTAATCCCTGATAGCCGTAGTTGTTTATTATTCGAAAGTTTTCATAAATGTAAAAATTAAGCGGCTGAGATGAAATATTCAAATTTTAAACAATATTAAACTTGATTAATATATACATATATATATATATATACAGCATTGATTTTTAACTTAGAATTTCAATTTTTTAAATTTCAAGTCTGTGCCCGGAGGTAAAGGAAACAATGTCTATTTTTTCATTAAATAATTTGGTAACGAAGAAACAAATTTTAATAGCTCTAATTGGCAAATGAAAAATTGGCTGGCTCTGAAAACATAATGTGACATTATATATTAACATCCGGATTTGACATATGGTAACAAACAGCTCAAACTTCTGGAACATTCGCTTCCCATAACAAATGCAGTATTCTTTACCTGCAGAAATATTTAACTTTAAAATGGAAAATTTAAAGCAGTGGTGCAATAAAGCTGCCCGACTTGAGCTGAACACTGTCGGACCCTCGTCAGGTGAAAGCTCTCGGCCATTGTTCAAGGGTGATAAACTCTAGTCCACTTTAGGGAAATGCGGCATTTGCCAGTCCACTTCCATGAACTTACTAAACATCTCAATGAACAAAGAGGTAGCTTTGAACTTAGCAAACATCTCGATGAACAAAGAGGTAGCTTTGAACTTAGCAAAAATGTAGTTCACCCAAAATTGGTCAACACATTTGAAGTAAGCGCAAAATTACTTCAATTAAATCACAGAATAGAAAGAATCGGAAGCCATATTGTTTATATAATTTCATTGTAAAGAAGAAATTGGCACTAATCTGTGTAATTCTCTTTTGCAAGGTATATCGAGCAATATCTGCGTAAATTCATTCCTCAAATGATCATGAAATTAAGTTTAAAAATAAAAAATATTGTCGCTGAATTTTTTTTTCTTGTTTGTAGTAATGTTCTCTTAGATTGCTTCAAAATATTGTAATCCGAAAGATACACACGCCTTAAGATTTTAAAAAGGACTGTTGGGTTTTCTAATATGGACTTTTTTTTTATTAGTTTAAGATCTTACAAAAATCCAAATACAAAAAGACTTGAACAAAAAAACATCTGGCGTGTCCACTCACACGACTTTGCTACCTATTTCAGAAAAGTTTTTAAATCTTTACATACGTTCATGAAAAAAAAAAAAAAATTGATCTAGATTTCCTGAAAATTGATCAAAGAAAAGATTTTAGTACGATTTATTTGATAAATTAAAGCAATGTAAACCGGCTTAGATCAGTACGTAAAACGTAATGTAAAATGTAAACGTAGATCAGTGTAAAAATTTCATTACTCTCTAATATTGCTGATCAAAAACTTTTTGCCATAGCTTAGTATTGTCAACAATAATTTCTGTTAAAAGTAGAGAAAATAGTGAAGCTTGTGTGATGCGGGCAACAGATTTTCTTACTTTCACTAAGTTATATTTTTTCTCTCATTCACTCCTTTCTGACACCAGTACATAAACCCGTAATCTTACATTGGAAATTGAATAGCTGTAACTTCGTTATTAGTTGTCCAAATTGAACGATTTTTATATAGTTTTGTATGGAATTTCATTACCTATATTTCATTACAGGCTAAACGGCTGGTTCGATTCCGATGATTTTTTTGTTTGTTTTTTTGGTAATTTAATTACCTTTCAAAAGTTTTATTATGAATTTTGCCGAACAATATATACTTAGGGAGTTAGGGACCATAACATTTTTCTTTTCTTTATACCTTTTATTCCTGTATTTTCTCGGGAATTTACTCCATATACGAAAATTGAAAGGACAGTGATTAGAACATTATAAGGAAGTTTTATCAAAATCATTAGAGCCGTTTTTGCGCCATAGTCTATAGAAAAACGTGTTTTTCATTTATTGCTAGCAAGCTATTGCGCATGGAGCACCGAATTTCTGTCACAGGCACCGTTAGTCAAAATCTTACAAAATAAAAAAAGAAGCAACAAAATCGATTCAGTAGTTCCCGAGAAAATCTTGGCACAGACAGACAGACCAATGGCTAAAAGTGTGTTTTTCGGACTCAGGGGACTCTGAAACGTATAGATCCGTCGAAAACTGCATATCGGAAATTCGACCCGATTGCAATACTTTCCTTACCTAGTATAGGTAGGAAACCATGAATTTGAAATTTTTCGTATGATGGAAGGAAGGTGGAATCGAAAAGCCGAATCAAATAAAAATATTTCATACTATGTTGTTTTTTTAAGAAATGATTTCATCGTTTTTAAATAATAAGGATTATTTTATTCTGAAGCAATACTCTACTTTTAATTCATTGTCCAAATGGTCATAATTTAAGGAAAAAATATAAATAGCACACAGACATGGTTTTCTTTTTTTTCCAAAACAACACCAGAGTAAAAGTTTCAAAATAATGTTCTAATCATGTAATGATATATATATATATATATATATATATATTGTATATATTTCTAAAACCTGAGATAAATAATAGGAAATTGGGTTGTTTACATTATAATTATTTTTAGATTTTTTCCCACTTTAAATTTTAGTACAATATAAATTTTCGTTTTTTTTTAATTATGAAAATATCTCGTACGTCATTATGCA